TACCCGGTCCTAGTAGCTGAACAAGCAAGAACCTCTAGGTTAGGAGTCTCAAAGGTACCACCAACCAGGCCACCGAAACAGACCAAAGAAAAAGAATATCAGGCCAACCTGATATATCGATAGACTGGTCATAATCTTACATAGGCTATCTGGATTGGAAGTTTGATAAAAGGACAGAAGAAAAGGCAGGAGTATACTAAAGTATCAGGGTTATGCTGTGATGTAGATGCTGGGGTCTAAGTGAACTCTACAAGAACATAGCAGTTTAATGGTTAGCCCTGACTACAAGTGTTGGTTCTGCTATAATGATACCTAGGTTAGCTGTAAAAATGAGTACAGAAGGCTCTGAGGGGTTTACCTTGAGAATAAATTAGTCCTAAGGTTGAAAATAATGATCTGAGTATCTGAGATGACCAGTGATATTAATACAGGTTACAGGTTCAGAGAGTTTAAAGTAGAACACCCAAGCAGAAGTGTTAGGTACAACAATTAGTAAGAAACCTTCAAGCGGACTCCTTAAATAGGTAATATAGAAAAGTTACACATGTAGCCAATTGTATGCTCTTCTGTAGTGGTTCATTAAACTACAATACTGATAAGTAATTAATAAAAGTCAAAAAAAAACCAAAGAGGTCACCTTAATACTAAAAAAAAAAAAAAAAAATTTGTAAAATTTAATTAGCAAAAGGAGTTTTTTTTGATATATAACTTTTTTTTTTTATTTATTCTTATTATATCTTTTTTCTCTTACATATTTTTCATATAACTATAAGTTTATTTTTAAATTTATATTTTATTAATTTATACTAAATTTTGTAACCTAACATTAGTAAATTAAACAGGTTGTCAACTTCTAAGTAGCAAATCTAAAGTTTAAATCCTATAGATAATGAATTTTAAAAAATATATCTGTGTTATGGTAACTTCTCTGCTAATCATTTGAATTAATGTATTTGTAAATTTCAGTTACATCATCTCGAATAAGAATTTGAGACATTTATATAAAATGTAATGTTATATTCATATAGAGGAATGTTAATAACCAGTATTGTATAAGACTTTGATGCAAATTCATAATAAGATCATCAGATGTAGAAAATAAAAAAACTGAAAAGTCAGAAACCCACTTGAAAATTCCGAATAAGAAGATAACACAAACCTTTTAACAATACTATTGAACTAATAAAAGCCTATGAAACATCTTCAAAGAGATAGGCAAATAAACCAAATGACAAGATGTATAAAGGAGCATATGACCAACCAGGTTGCAGAATCACTAAAGAAAAATAATACTAAAATAAATCATATCAGGCTAACTGGATTAGAAGTCTGAGAAGTCTTATTAGTTCTGAGTAATGGTTAGTAAAAGACAATAGAGAAGGCATCAAAAAGATGAATATTGAGGTTTTGAGTAAACCTTATAAGAGTATAGCAGTTTAATAGTTAGCTCTAATTGCAAGTAATAATTTAGACTAAGGAATACCAAGTAAGCTATAAGTATGAGATGAAAAATACACTGATAGGTTTAATACAAAGTTAAATATAACTTAGTAACTATAGCATATCTTTACTAATTTATCAGAGTTATTAGTAGGATATAGTAAATACAAGATCAGAGTGTTTAAATAGATGACCTACAGGTGGATCCTAAGTATAGCAACTAGTATAAAACTTTTAAACAGATTACTTAATTAAATAATAACTAAAGTTGTATAAATGATTAGTTGTATACTTTTTTTATGATCATCTTTGCACTGTTATGTTAACAGATACTGGCTAACTAATATTATTAATTAAATTCTAGGTTGCATGTACTTATCTTAATATTTAAAAAAAAAAAATAAGAATAATAATTTTAGTATAGTAGTTAGATTGTTATTTTTCAAGTAGTAGATTTAATATTTAAATTCTATTTATAATAAAATTTGAAAATTATATTTGTATTATAGTAACTGTTTTTTGTTAAATAATTAGTCTTATATAGTTATAATCTAAGTATATCAAATTTAATAACTTAAAAACTTAAAATATTTATATTAAATATAATATCATATATATAAAGAAATATTTATTGATATTATATATATAAAGAAATATTTATTGATATTATATAAAACTTTGATATAAATATATAATAAGACCATCAGATATAGAAGACTAAGAAACTAAAATAACAGAAATTTATTTAAAAATTTTTGAGTAAAGAGGTAATTAAACTTTTAATATTATTATTAAACTAATTAAAGCTTAAAAATTATTTTTTAAAAAATAAATTAGATAAACTGAATGCAAAATATATATAAAAAAACATATAACTAATCAGATTACTAGATTTATCAAAAAATATATATATAAATATATTATATTAGATTATTTGAATTAGCAATTTAACCAAAGTCTATTAGTTCTAAGTAGTAATTAATAAGGAATAATAAAGAAAATATTAAAAAGATAGATACTAAAGTTTAGTAAACTTTACAAGAATAAAAATAATATAATATAGTAATTAAATAAATAATTTTTGTAACTACAAGTATTAAATAATTATAATATATTATATAAAACTAAATTAGCTATATATAAGACAAAACAGACTCTAGTAAGTCTTTTGTTAAAAATAAAGTAATTCTAAAAGTATTAATAAAGATCAAAAACTTAAATAAGCTATATTTTATAATACAAGATAAATTGCATATATAGGAGATTTAAATAGTTAAGACTTATAATTAACTTGCAAGTATAATACTTAGTATAAAACTTATATGACAATGTATAAGCAAACTATTTAAATTAGGCATCAAAAATGTATATGTAACTAACTGTAACCTCCAATATAAAAGAGCTTTTAAAGGCATTTATGTTTTATATTTAAATAAAATTGCTTACCAAAGACAAGAACTTTAATATAATAATAATAATAATATTTTAAAATAAATAGTTTTAGAAATTATCAATTAAATTAAACTATTATAACTAACTTATGTAATAAAAATAATTTATAAATTAACTAAAAACACAAAATTAGAAAATTTAAATAAAAAATATATAAGTAAATATTAAATATATTAAATAATAAATAATCTTTAAACAAAACTTTTTATATAAGTAAATTTTTGTAATTAGCAATAACTTTAATTTACTAATTTATTTTAAACACTTTTATTATCAAAATAATTTTTTTAATAAAGTAATTTTAACAAAGTCAAAATTATTAAAATGTAATTACAGAATCTTAAAATTATTATAAATTAAATAAAATTTAACTAATAAAATTAATTATTTAATTAAAAAAATTGCCTAAAACAAACGTTTGTATAATTTATTTTATTGTTTTTTTATTAAAAAACTAATAAATTAAGTTATACAAATATTTGGTTTAAACAATTTTATTAGTTAAATAATTAATTTTATTAATTAAAATTTTATGTAATCTATAGTGATTTTAAAATCTTGTAATTAGATTTTGATAAATTTAAACTTGTTAGAATCACCTTATTAAGAAGATAATTTTGATAATCAAACTATTTAGAATAGACTAATAGATTAAAATTTATTGCTAATTACAAAAATTAGCTCATATGTAAATAAATAATGACTAAAATTGTATAAGTAACTATCTGTATTCTAATCAAGATATACTATGATCAAATATCTTAGAATGTATTTGCAATTCAAAAAGTTACGTAATAAAAACTATAGTCAAAAAGGCTAGTTCAAATATAAAATAATAATAACAATAATTAGTTTAAACCTTAAATCTTTAAACGGTTTTTAGTATAAACTTAATTCAAGTAATTATTAAAAAAACGTTTAGTTGAATTGTTAATCAAATTTAATTTTTTTTGTAATTGTTAATAATCAAAAAATGATTATAGTATAATATAATATAATGTTATTTGCTAACAATTTACATAATGTAATAATTTTGCAAACCAAAATTTGCATAATTTGAAAAACAATACATATTATCAGTTATATAGTAGTATATATTACGTATAACACAAGTTTCTAAAAGTTATTTTATTTAAAAGAAAATAATTCCGATAAAGTTAGCGTTAGGTAAAATAAAAAATGTTAACTAAAAAGTTAACTAATTTAGTCAAAATATGTTTTTGTGGAAAAATCATACGTATTATTAATCATTGGATAAAAATTAGATATCTTAATCTAATAAAATTTGACGTAGCGTGTCACAGATTTACAGATTTTTGACGTGCAACTTTTTTTAGAAATATGATTCGACGTATAGAATCTTAGTGATAAGATCATATAAGTCTTGGCTGCTTACATTTATTTTAAATACGTATTAAGGATTGCTGCAAGTAAGCCCAAAAATTTTTTCGGTCAAGTAATTTGAAACTTTGATCTGTCAATATACTGTATATGTTTAAGTTACATGACATATTGATATGTACGTGGACCAAAAGTTTGGAACCACGGTATGACAATCAAAGAATAGAAAAATGGGAAGATTTTCTCTAGAATTAATTTTTCTTGGTTTTTTTTTCGCTTCTTCTAACTGTAATTGTTTACGCCCACTGACAAAAAATTATTCTTTCTAAAGTAAATACTTTTTATTAACGTCTTTGTTTCTAGGTCAAAAATACAGTTACAAAATATTTATTATCTTACTTTATTTATTTGTTTTATTATTTTTGCATGTGAACATTCATATGAATCATCATATTGAATCATATTGAATCATATGAAATATTTTTATAAAAGAATCAAGACCCCAAACTATTATGCCCTTTTATTTTATTTTATTATTATGATTAGGTGAGAGTGTGTGATGGACATGGACATGGACATTATTAAAAAAAAATAATAATAAAAAACATATATATAATATATATTTACAAATTAACAAAATAGCCAATAAATAGTATTGGCATTACTAACGATTAATTTAGGATTTCTTATTAATAATACACATAAAAAACGATAAATACTGTATGATGAATGATAAATGGTGGATGATGGATGGTGGATGATGATGCTTAACCTGAAAATGTCCAACGCCTTACTCTAGATTCTTCACTGTCATCGGTCGGTAAATTACTACGACTAGTACTATGATCAGACTGAGTTGAAGATAATATGTCACCAACAGAAAGTCTTGATTGTGATTGTCTATTACGTGGAACACGTCGAACACGACGAATAGCTTTTAGATATTTCGCCCATCTGAAATGAGGAAAAGTTGGAGTTGAAGGCTCCCCTTCAGTTTGAGTAGTAGTAACATCAGAATCTATTATTTCGCTTAGAACACCAATAGAACCTAATGAAGTTGATGAGTTGGAAGCAATTTCATGTATAGTTGTTATAGAACTACTCTTCCAAGAAGTATAATCAGCTTTGCACATAGGACACAACGAAGAAATATCAAGAAGCCATGGATCGATGCACATACTTTAAAATTATAAAAATAAGTATGAGTTAATGAATGAATGAGAATGAATGAGAATGAATGATTATATAAATAACATGTAAAAATAAATATATAGTGTATATATATAGTGTATATATTTATATATTTATATTTATATTTATAATAAATAAAGGACTCACGTATGATATTGATGATGACATGGTAAGATTCTCAATTCTTCACCAGATTCAAATTCACCCAAACAAATCGGACAAGTCAATTGATTATCGGTTATGGGAGAAGAAATTTCAGGGGCAAAAGAGAAATCATGATTTATAATAACGTCAGGGATAGTGATGATATTATCATCATCATGATTTTCAACTATTGGAGACAATCTTCTGTTTCTATTTACATTAGCTTTGTTAGGAACAGGTTTAGATATTTCCGAATCCAAATTTGAATCAACACAATTTTCTTTTTTAGTGTTTTCAGAGTTTTTAGAATCAGTATTTTTTTGTAAAGGAAATAAATAAACAGGAAAACTTTCCAACACGGCTTTAGTTATGCCATGTTTTTGATTATTATCATCTTGATCTTGACCATCAATAGGAAGCCTAAGTCTATTCCTTATGACGTTTACTAAGACCACCATAAAAAATAAACCCAAAACAACACCAGCTACAGTATATAATACGATCATAGCAGTTTGATAACCTTGGGACATATCAGAGGTATTAGTTATATTTGTTGGTGTAGGATTATCAATCTTTATAGTTGCCTCGAGATCAGATAAGGACATATTTGAATTGGTTTTATTAGAATGACAGTCATTGTTTACTTCGTTAAATAAAGGGATTATAATGTCATTTGAGGTAAATTGACAAGGTTTACCGTCATAATTTAATATTATGGCAACAGTAGTATTCCTTCCTTGGGCAGAAATAATGTTTTGTGTATAATTTCCATCACATTTGATATATACTATTAAAGGTGAGTCAAGTTGAGAGGTTGGAGGCCACCAAATTAATGAACCCTGAAAATTCAAGAGATATTAATTAGTATATCGTATATATATTTATAATATATAACTCACATAATGTTATTAGTCAAAGCCCTTTAACTTCAAGACCAAAACTTTTATGGTCATTATGAACATACGTTAACCTCTTTTTGTGAAGATGGATTGGATAAACAATTTAATTTACAATTTATCAAAGTGTTTGAAGAAGTTGAATTCTTTATGGACATGGTATAACTATGTGATGAGTCACGTTTAATTATATAATCATGGATATTATTTTGTAAAGTTGCCGAAGACATAATAATCCAAACGAATGCGCTAAAGAAAAACCATGATATACTAAATGATTTCATAGCGCTATCTTGAAAATAAGAAAAAGAAACCCAGAATCTTTCTTTGTAGGATTGCTTATTTTATAACAATCCAAGATCAAAAAAAGACTTTTTAAGAATGTTTGTAAAATTATAATAAAAATAATCAAAGATGATAATGTGATTATTAACTAACATTTATTTAAATTTGGTTTTTTTTAAAAAAAAAGTTTGTTTTTTTATCGTTGTTCGTAAAAAAAAGTTGTATTGAAGAGAGTTTACAAAAGAAGTATAGTTCAATTGTTAAATTTTTCTTTACACAACGTATTATATTGTCTTAATTTGGATAATTAGATTTAATATAATGTTTTCCAAATTTATGAGCGTGTAACGACGATCGATAAATATTGTAAATTAAATTCCGGAAGTGTTATATCGATATGTTAGATTTATATCAATTTATACCGGAAACGGATTTAAAAATCATGAATTATTATATCATACAATACGTGAAATAAGCTCAATATTTGCAATATGCTCAAATATGCTCAACATGTTCAATGCGTGGCACTATATCAAATATTTGATAGGATTACATTTGATAGGATACTATGCTAAATATGTAAGTCTTTTGGAAGATTAAAAATAGAAATAATTATATCGTACGTATGCACATTCATAAATATGTAAACATGTAATATGTTTCTTTGCATTACAATTTAGGCACAATCTAGACACAAATCCAGATCCAATTTAAATACACAATTTAATAATATTAAAAAAGGACACAGAATTTTTATTCATGATGTTTACCTTTCTTTCAAAGGAGGTTCAAGAAAGATTATAAATGAGATTAGAAGAGGACGCGAAGTTATATTATCCAAGAATCTGCATGTTAGTTACCACATAAAGGGGTGTAGGATGCAAAAAATTTGTTACACTCCCCTTTGTGTCAACCTTTTTTTTTTTTTCTTTGGAATTTACGTTGTTTAACGACAACGGGATTTTTGATTGGTATATTTTATTATCATACGTAATACCTTTTTTTGTTTTTTTTGAGTCTTGGCAAATGACTTGGGAAATACCATTTTTAGTTTCTCCAGGATTTAACGTCCTTTTTTTAAAAAAAATTGAATGAACAAGTGAACATTGGTTTTATTTCCCCTGCATCACACAATCATCTTTGAAGCTATTCCGAACATACGTACGTACTTGTATGTATTGGTATGTAAGTAAAATGTTACCAGTTTTTGTTTTATTAATTCGATATTATGTAATGCTGATGCGTATTTCGGATAATATAATTAAGTACGACTAAAGATTTTAATAATGATGATAAATTATTATAAATTATTATAAATAGAGAATGGCTATTTCCACCCTCCACATGATCTAGCCGATCTCCGACCCTACATGATATGTTACACGAATATAAGTTGCGTGACCTTGTATGCTTTTGAATGTGTGCTTATTTCTCAAAAATCTACATAAGAAAACACCTTTAGTGCTCTAACAAAAGTTTTCGATAGGCAATCTTAATGTATAAACTACTCCCTTCTAATTCCTAACCCTGACACTAACCTAACATAAACGAGTTTTAAAGAATTTTTGCTGCGCCGCAAACCTGGCACACATTCAAGACGTGCATATTTCGCCTATAAAAAGTCTTGGTCATGTGACCTTTATTCGTGTAAAGTAGTCGTCTTATTAAATCGGAAACTCATGAGGAGTGGCATTAGCGAAAGTGGGGGGGTGGAAATAACAAAACTCTATAAATATATATATACATATATTATATATATATATATATATTTTTTAAGAAAATTCTTTAAGGCTATTAGAAGAAAAAAAAACAAACATATACATGCAGCCCAAACTAAATATTTTTAACATTAGAAAAAAAGTTATACGTATACATGCCGCTCAAACTTTAAAAATCCCAAAGATAATCCTAAAAATACCAAAGATAGTCTTAAATATAGTAAATCCTTATCCGAATCCAAAATTTTCAATATTCAATAAATCTTCAATCCAAAATCCCAATAATTTTTTGCCAACAAAACATCATTACACGAAAAAATTAGTGTACCAGAAATACAATTACAGAATTACAGAAATACACAAAATTACAGAATTAGCAATTAGGACGGTCCCAATCTATGTGATAAATAATATCACATTAGGTATTTACTGTCTTATGGTTATGGTTGAAAACCATGTGATACTATTCATCGCATGGCTTTGAAAGTCCTACATGTTTGGGTAACGTCGCTGATATTGTCAATTACCAATTCTAGAAATCTTGTATATTCCTAACTTAGAAAATGTCAAAACCTATCACTATATCGGTCAACAAAAACACTATCTCTATTCTATCACATGAAATCTGATCTATATTCCTATATCAATTATCGGTTATCAATTATTTTTTTCAAAATTTGATTTTAATTTTGTTCTATCTTTAAAAAAAAAAAATTATGAAAAGAGGAAGAGGAAAACAAAGGATAACTGAACATAATAAGGTTTGATCCTTTTTCACTAAGAACGCAATTTTTTATTTTTTAACTTTATAAACCGATCTGTTTCTACTTTAAGTCAAACTCTAGAGGTAGAGGAAGAGGTAAAGGAAAGGGTCAAGGTGACAAACGAGATAATCGAGGTCCGGTAATACCGGTACTCAAATATCGGTTTGATAAAAATTCCGAGGATGAATCTGTGAAAAAAACTGGGTTTCGGTCTATACCACTTATACCTACCCCAAAAGAACTTCTTGTTGATCAACTTGTTGAGCTTCGCAGCAACAAAATTGATGGTTCTTATGAATCAATCGATGAATATCTTGAAACTCATTACAGCTTAATGCGTGAAGATTTCATTAGGCCTCTTCGAGAAGGAATTAGACGTTTAAGGAATCCTGATAAAACTGATAACGACACATACAGAAACACGGATATACGGATTTATGAGCATGTATATATTTTATTTTTTATATTTATTTTTAATTAATTAATTAATTAATTATTTAATTTCTTATTATTATTATTATTATTATTATTATTATTATTATTATTATTATTATTATTATTATTATTATTATTATTATTATTTCTTTCGTTTTCAATTTAATTCATTTCAATTCATTTCAGGTCAATTTAGTGGGTGTCACATTCTCATCTACTAGTGGTGTGATTCATCGAATATCTTTCAGGACCCAACATTCAGAACGTATCAAATGGTATGCATTTTTCTTTATAATTTAAAATTAATTATTATTTACACGTTCCTTTATTTTATTTTATTTTATTTTATTATAAAATCTATCGTATTACGTAACAGGTCCCATAGTAAACGTTTAATTCCCGGGACCTTGGTTGTTTTATCTAATGACAATTTTAATACCATGAAATTTGCCATTGTTGTCAGCAGACCAATGGAATTCCTTGAAAAGCCTCATGATTTGCAAATTGAAGTATCTTTCAAACCAGAAGAGGCTGAATTCGTATGGCCAGATAAAAGTTATACTATGGTATATATTATTAATTACTTTGAATTATATTATTCATTTAAATATATATTTAATCAATATTTTTTGTTAAAAAAAAAGGTTGAGTCAACGTCTTATTTTGAAGGTTAGATAGTAAATTCTATATATATATATATATAATTAATAACATTACAAAAAAATATTAAATCATTTGTTATTGTTTAATGATAATGTTTGCATTTAGCTTATCGTCATATAATGAATGTCCTCCAAAATTTGGATCCTAAGTCATTACCTTTTAAATCGCATATTGTCGATCTTATTACGGATATTGATGAACCTGAATATTTAAAACGTCGTCATTCTGTATATGAATTTGGAAAAGTATCTTCTTTTGAAAAGATTGAAAAAATTTTTGGAACATCAAGGGTAAATTTTTTTTTTTTTTTTATATAAATTTTTTTGTAAACGGTAGAGATAGAAAAAATTTCACCGATTTAAAAACAGGTAATGATTAAAAGTTTGAATAGTATAGTTAAATCTGGATTTAAATACATCCAGATTATAATCATCACCTGTTTTATCCCTAATAAATAGGTAATAAATAGATAGTAAATAAATATATAGTAAATATTTATCTATATTTCTATTTATATATTTATTTATAATATCTATCTATATATATGTATATTTTATAGTTAATTTTTTATTTCTGTTTAATGTTTTCTAAAAGATTTCTTTGTCATTTAGATTGATATTAAAAAGGATTGGCCTCCATTAGAAGTGTTGGATTCAACTCTTCATACTTCTCAGTATGAAGCCCTAAAACAAATGTTGACTAAACGTTTTGTATTAATTCAAGGTCCTCCTGGTACCGGAAAAACTTATGTTGGTTTAACAGCAGTTCAATTATTAATTGTAAATACTTCTGGAACTATTTTGATTGCATGTCAAACAAATCATGCTTTAGATCAATTTCTTGAATATATTCAAAAATTTGAACCTAAAATAGTTCGATTAGGTTCAAGATCTCAAATTAATAGTATAAAAGAACGAACTTTATTTGAAATTAGAAAAGATTTAAAGCTTTCAGATCAGGAATCTCCTTATAATCCTCAGATTAATAGGTTACATGCTGATCGTAAAAGGATTTTAAGGGAAATGACACCGTTGCTCGAAGAAATTCATAACCCCTGTGTAACATTGGAATTTATTCAGGAACAAGGGTTTCTTACTGAAACACAAATTGCTAGTCTTAAGGATGATAATGATGAATGGGTTACAAGTAATCCTATCATAGAAGATGGTGAAAAAGATTATATAAAAGATTGGCTTGCAACTTCAATCACTACACATTCATCTTTACATAATGATTTAGAATATTTAACGTTACAAGTTATTAATGAAGATAAAGATGTAGTTGATAATGATGATGAAGTAGATGATGAGGAAGAGATAACAGCTGTAGCTGCTGAATTTCAAGGTATCGATGAAGGGAAACCAACAACAGGAGATTACGTCATTGTACGATCGGAAACATATGTAGATTCATCTACATATGTTAGTGAAGAAGATTTGAAAAAATATATGTCTAGTAATGATTTACAAAATATTCCTCAAGAAGGAAAAGCTGCAATGCATAATAGATGGAGACAAAAAAGATTGGATTTTGTAAATAATAAATTACATGAACTTAATAAAAAATATTCAAAAATTTGTGAACAAATAAAATACGAAAGAATTCGTGAAGATCTTATGATTCTTAAAGATGCTAGAGTTGTTGGAATGACAACAACTGCAGCGGTAAGTCTTTTTTTTTAAATATATATATTTATATATTAAATATTTATTAAATTGTTATATATATAATAATCGTTATATATATATATATAATGAATATAACGGATATAATGGTTTTCAATTATTTATTAACATGAAACATGTATATGTACATTTACATTTACATTTACATGAAATATGTAGGCAAAATATCATGAATTGATCATGAATGTAGAAGCAAAAATTTTAATAGTCGAAGAAGCTGCTGAAACAGTAGAAGCACATATTATTACTGCTTTAACACCATCAATAGAACATTTAATTTTGATTGGGTACACAAATTGTTTATTAGTTAAAAATAGTATCTATCGAGAAATATGTTATATATGAATTTTTTTTTCTCGTTTAGAGATCACAAGCAACTTCGACCAAATATCTCTGTCCATGAACTTGCAGAAAAGCATGTGAGCATCTTATATCAATCAAGAATGAATTATATAATTATTTTAATGAGATTATTCACTGATTCAATAATTTATTCATGATAACATTATATAGTATCTTGATGTATCACTATTTGAACGTTTGACTAAGACGTTTAATTATACGCAATTAACAGAACAACGTCGTATGAGAACAGATATTCGTAAATTATTAGAACCAATTTATGGTGAAACTCTTACGGATCATGATTCGGTTAGAGAATACCCACGTGTTCCTGGATTATTTCATGATTTATTTTTCTTTGATCATCAAGAAGAGGAATCTGCTGTTAAAGATTCTACAAGCAAGATTAATAAGTTTGAAGCACATTTATGTGCTAAATTTGCTTGCTTTTTGGTAAATGGTGGAATTGAACCGGAAAAAATGTAAATAAATAAATTTATATATATATATATATATATATATATGTGTATATTAATTAAATTAATTATTGATATATTTATTTTTCGATTATTTAAAAGTACTATTCTTAGTATGTATTCTAGTCAACGTCAAGAAATTAAGAAATTTCTTCGTGAAGAAAGCAGAAAAGTTGAAATAATTGACGAAGTAAAAGATATAATTGTTAGTTCTGTTGATGGGTTTCAAGGAAACGAAAATGATATAATAATCCTATCATTGGTAAGAAGTCGAGATCCAAGATGTGGTATTGGTTTTTTAAGTGTAAGCAATCGAGGTAAATATATATATATATATTTTTTATTTTTTTGAATTTGTTTGAAAATATTTCGAAAATAATAATAATAATAATTTTTAATAATTTTTAAATAGTGTGTGTTGCATTATCACGAGCTAAACATGGCTTGTATGTTTTTGGTAACGCATCTCAATTAAGAAAGCAATCAGAACTTTGGAACGATATTTTGAAAATCTTTGGTAAAAAAAATGCATGTAGCCAATCTTTAATGTTATTTTGTCAAAAACATTCCGACTTTGAAATTGGTGATGATGGTTTACCTAAAAACCTTGTTGTGACATCAGTTTCATGGGCTGGAGATATTCCATCTTCAGGAGGATGTATAAGAAAATGTGAAGAAATTATGGCATGTGGTCATGTAAGTAATAAATGAAATTCATATAAATGAATTTCATATAAATAAAATTCATATAAATGAATTCGTAAATGAAATTCATTTTAGATAAAACCATGTTAAATTTAATTTTATGATTACATTTCCATAGAAATGTCCTTTGGGCTGTCATATATTTCCACATAATGAACGAGATATTTGTTGGGTAAGTATTTCGTTATTTATGTTTTATATTTTTTTCGATTATTTTATTTTATATTATAAATATATTCTTTTACAATTATTATATTATATTATTTCAGTGTTAATTATTGTTGCGTACAATACGAAAGTATTAAAAGTTCATTTTTTTAATTTAGGATTCATGTTTACGACAATTTCCATGTGGACATACATGTACGAAAAAATGTAGAGATCCATGTGGACAATGTGATAAAATTGTTACTATTCGACCACCCTGTGGGCATGCAAGAGAAATTTCATGTCATAAGTTCAGAGCATCTGACAAATATCGATGTACAGAAACATGTTCTAAAAAATTAAAATGTGGTCATCAAGTTAGTATTTTTTTTTTTTTTTACATAATAAATTAAAAACTTTTAAAATAAATAAATAAATCATTAAAAAAATTTTTCTTTTTTTAGTGCAAAGAAATGTGTTCATCACCTTGTGCAACCAAGTGTATGGTGCAAGTTCCCATAAAGTTTCCAGGATGCGGGCATATAGATCGTATTTATTGCTATAGATCAGGTAACAATGAGGATTGCCCATTTTGTTAATAATAAACTTGATTAGTAGTTAACAAGTGAATGATAAATGATGGATAGAATAAAATAATAATATAACAATTTGCCAGAATGTTATTTGTAAATTTGTGTATATTTAGCAAGTTTATAAAATCAATATATAAAATCATTAAATAAAATCATTAAAAAGTTGTTGTTCATGTAATATATATGTATATAATTTAAAATATGTATTCAATTTAAAATACGTACTCTAAATTAAATATATTCAAAAAAAGAATATAATTATAATTATTGTATGCATCGAAGCATTGAACGTACAAACACCTTAGAAAGTGTTGTAAGATATGCAGACATGTGGTTATAAATTATAAATCTAGTTCAGTAATTATCAGTAGTTATCAGTAGTTATCCAGTAGTTATCAGTAGTTATTAGTAGTTATTAGTAGTTATCCAGTAGTTATCAGTAGTTATTAGTAATTATCAGTAGTTATCAGTAGTAGATAGTAGTAGATAGTAGTTATTAGTAGTAGATAGTAGTTATTAGTAGTTAGGATAACTTTAGAATAATTCCAAGGTCATTCTAGGACAATTTTAAGGTCACTCTAGGACAATTTTAAGGTCACTCTAGGTAATTTTTAAGGTAATTTTAGGTAATTTTAGGTAATTATAGAGTTAACGACAGTATAACATCAAAACGAACTCACGATTATTTTTTAAAAAAAATACGCGTAAACAAAATAAATATACGCGTTCAATTGCTGATCATATGTAGGATAAAAAAAAAAAAAAAAATCATTTACAAATAATGATCATCATCTTTCAATGAACTTTTCAATGAGTGCATTATTAAACTGTTAATTAAACGTACTCATGTACATAATGATAATATAACTGATATACAGTATATATACAGTATACGTATACAGTATATACAGGTATTGATTACAATTATATATATATATATATATATATACGTACTCAAGTACCTAACAGTTAACTGTTAAGTACGTTGGGTACGTACGTACTTAGGTACAATATCAATATTATTGATATTAATCCTTACGTTATCACATGCTTTGATTTTGTACAAGTACGTATGTATTATGTATATACACAAAGTCAGTAAGTTATTGTAAAGTACGTATATATATTGATATATAAATAATAAAATATATATATATATACTGCATATGCGTATAAATATATATAAGGTTAACGTGTGATCATAATGTGTAAGAATATGGAGAAGTAGAGGAGAAGAATGACGATCTAGGTGATTACGCATGAAAGTTTAAAATTTTATGCTGAATATATAGAATTTTATTATTATTTTTGTCCACGTGTATTTTCAACGAAAAAAAGTTATTACATATACAGTACACAGTTACGGTACGTAAAGTAACGTACAATACGTACGTACGTATCAAATGTTTGATTTTTTTAATGTTAAGAAAAAAAATGAAGGAAAAAAAAAACGTGAAAAATATTTTTAATAATATTTAATTATTATCGTTATATTTTTATTGTACGTATAATATTTATTTAATGTTAATATTAAATAATGATAAATAATTTTCTTGAAATTTCTTGAAAATTAAAAAATGTGATAAAATGTCAATCGTATTATTTTTGAAAAAAAAATTAGATAATCAACAAAAGAAATTAAAATCACCTGAGAATGAGAAAAAAAAAAAAAACAATAGTTGTAATAATTGTTGCGGTAGTTACAGTTTGAACGAGAATTACACAATAAACGGAATAAATATTCCGAATAAGAGAGAAAAACGGGTTTTGTTTTACAATTTAGACATTGTTTTTTAAATTTTCGTCACGAATACAAAATATAAGGAAGTTAGAACAATTTCTAATCAATTTCTTTAATTTCTTTTCGATTACCATTTTTAATATTCAACGCAGTTAATTATCCGTATTCATCCGACATAGAATTTTCTAAATTGGGTCTACCGTTTAGTTGTTTCGTTGATTGGGTGATTTACAAAATTGAAACAAAAAGCCTCAATTTATATGAACCCCAATTTTTTGTTTAAATAACCGTAAAATCGACGTACATCACTTTTCCTGGTCACTATAACTCTTTCACCGTTTTTTTTTTTATTATTATTTTTTTTTTATATATTTTGTTTATCAAATTTTATTTATAAGTTTAGTAATCGGGAAATATTTCATTTTTATCGGTAATCTTGATATAACATTAAATCATAAACATCATTGATTCTGTTGGAATATATATTTTTTTATTTTATAAAAGATATATGTTAAAAAAGAAGTAAATGAAGGTGATTAAAAAGATTGGAAAATAGTAAAGTGAATAAGATTGAAACAAGATTTTAAAAAAAGACTAAAAGAAGAAAGATTAAAAAAGGAAAGAAGATTTTTTTAGGAAAGAAAAGATTATTAAAAAAGAAAGAAGATTATAAAAGGTTTATAAAGGAAAGGAAAGGAAAGGAAAAGAAAGAAAGGATATGGCACCTAAAAAAATTAATACGAAAATATATTCAATAACAAAAGCTGAATTTCTTTCAGGACAAAATATAGGAAATATGACACATTTAACAAGTAATACGCCAGAAATATATTCCACGAATGATAAAGTTTTAAATACAAATGAAATATTTAAATTTCCGAAACAAAATGAAGATTTCAACTGGAAACAAACATTTAATATGCCACCAGTTTTGACCGTGTTCCCGGAATCATGTTCCGATAATGATGATAATAACACGACAACCACCAACTCGTATCCCGTGACACCGACTACATTAGCGGCATCACCGGTATCATTTACACTCGTTCAACATTATGAAGATGTAAACAATTTTAAGCACGATAATACTCGACCTATAACACCACCACTTGAAAAAGAAGCAACGAAAAGCAAAAAACGTAATAAAAGAACACGAGAAGAATACCTCGCGAAATTTAAATTACCAATTAATGGAATCGCAACTAGAACACGAAATCGAACACAAAGTAACGCTGCGGTTGAACAACAACAACAACAACAACAACAAGGGAATGAAGAAAGTTTTCGACAACAATATACCCTTGGATATTTCCTCGAACGTGCCGCACCAATTCCGGAACCTTATTCCGGATTTATCAATGATGATTTATGTAGACCCATAAAAAGGATATGCATAGGATCATCCGGCCCTAGCCGAGCAAACACGGAAGAAGCCGACGAGCACGTGAGAGATCGGCCAAATAAGTTAAATGATAACGACAATGACAAGAATAAAGATGGTAATAAAGATGATGATAAAGATAACGATAAAGATAATGAAGATCAAACAACCGCAGTTAATAGTAGTACAAATAAGAATCCGAATTATCCGATTCCAATATCTAAAGAAGAAGTAAGAAAAAAATGGAGTACGAATAATCAAAAAACATTTCTTGCAACATATTTATGTAATGGAAAAGATTTTACCAGTATTGCACAAAAAACCGGTAAAAAAACAACAGAAGTAGTAGAATATTATTATATGTTTAAACATAATAAGGATTTTAGAGCAGCTAAAGAAATGATGAGAGAAAATCAAGCATATGAAGAATATCTTGGTTCAATCGATGCTGAAATGAAAGCAGTTGAAAAAATGGCACAATCTTATGCACCTAAATTTGCCGGTAAGAAAAAAGGTGTACCTGGACGACCAAAAAGATCTAATGGAAAATCAAAATCGAAAAAATAAATTTTCTTTCTTTCTTTCTTTTTTTTTTTTTTGTATATTTTGTTTTAACATTGTTTACATTGTTTGAACCATTTTTTTTCTTTTATTAGTTAGCATATGCGTTTTATTAACTGGCATTTATTTTCTTTTTCTTCTTCTTTATTTGTAAAAATTTTTATTTCTTTAAAAAAAAAAATCAGAAACTTAGAATTTGCTTCTCTTTAGCTTCTTTATCTTCTTTATAGCTTCTTTAACTTCTTTATAGCTTCTTAGTAGCTTCTTAGTAGCTTCTTTAGTAGCTTCTTAGTAGCTTCTTAGTAGCTTCTTAGTAGCTTCTTAGTAGCTTCTTAGTAGCTTCTTTAGTAGCTTCTTTAGCTTGTAAGCTTGTAAAAAAAAAAAAAAACATTTAACAATTTCTTATACGTATTATAACATTTATAAAACACAGATTTATATTTCGCTCTTTATCTAATTTGTATACGTATTCTTTTATATTGTTGTATCATTCATATCTTGCACTTGACTCACTTGTCGACTCATTCGTATGTTGCATGTTCGAATAAACATTTTCGCTATACATTTCCGCATATTACATTTTTATTTTCGGTATATTACATTTCCGATATTAGCATAACGTATTACGTTTATTCGCATACGTATTAAATTTCTGCATATGTATCACATTTCCGTATATGTATATTTCCGCAGTTCGGAAACTTAATTATACGCAGCTCGGAAACTCGTAATCTCGTAATTATACGCAGCCGGAAAAAATTGAGCCGGAAAACATTGTGCATATTACATTAATACATATATGCTATGAAATAACCAATTTTACCTAATTCCCTGTATATAATCCTCATTAGAGATTACCAGATTGCTTTGTTAGAGTACATATACATAAGAATATATAGGTTTCCCTTGATGACCAAATCAGGATTACCTTAATAGCGTGAGCATGTGACAATTTCGAAGTAACGCATTGAAATAAAAAGTTCTTTATAGTTTTTTTTTTAAAAAAAAAAAGAGTAACGATACGTACTTACCTTGTTTTACATACGTACCTTTGAAATTAAATCATATGTTAAAATTAAATCATACGTTGAAATTAAATCATACGTTAAACCACATGATTTGAATAAGTATTGTAAGGTTTTACCTTTGTTTTGCTCCTAAACGTTATTAATGATGCATTTTAAGGAGTAACGTCGTGAAATGTGAGAAATATTTGAATGAATATTTTTTTGGAATTATCAAAAAAGAAATACATGTATATTGTTTCATAATGAGTCATTAACATATATAAAAAAAGAACCCTGAACATTAAATTAGATCGATGAAATCAATTTATGATACAAATTAATTACTTTATTTGTTTAAACAAAAAAAAAACTTATATAGTGAACCTAGTACCAGGACTAGTGCTAGAGGCTAGAGTTAGTACTGTATTGTACTAGAATTAGTACTGTACTGTACTAGAGTTACTGTACTAGAGCTAGTATCAGAGCTAGTACTAGAACTAGTACTAAAGCTAGTACTAGAGCTAGTACTAGAGCTGGTAATTGGTAAGCATATATATGTAATGCAAGTGTAGTACTATTATCATGCGCATGCACAATAATGGTTCTCGTGAGAATAATCCTAGTTAGCGTTATTGCCAAAATCACGTAACAAGCTGATCTAAAAACAGGTTTTTTTATCACCCTATAATCTTTTTTTACGCGAAATATAATTAAATAATTTATTTGATATATGAATAATTAAATTTGTTATTATTATGTATTATAATAAAGAATTATAATATGTAAAAGAAAATTCTAATTATAATATATATATATAATATATATATATAATTATAATAAATATAATTATACGTAATAAATAAATATAAAATATATATATAAATATATATATAAATATATATATAATTAAGAATTCTTGATTACGTAGTCACAATGATATATCATTCAGCCATTTTACAAGAACCAAGGTCATCAATAAATTTATTAACCTGGGCAATAAAAGCAATAAATTTTATTAACCTGGGCAATAAAAGCAATAATTTTATTAACCTGGGCAATAAAAAGCAATAAATTTTATTAACCTGGACAGAACGGTTAAAACGCCAGACTTGAACCAAAACGTTTTTTGAATAAAAAAAAAAGTTATGTAATCAAATCCTGACCTAGATAAAGAAAGGGCTGATCATATGTAACACATAATGGTAAGAATGACGCGAACATCATTATTTAATGGTCCATGTGGCCAGTAGTAATCTAACGACATCGGATTAACAGAGTACCCCCAATTTTTTTTTTTCTTTGGCAAATATTTCGGCACAACATTTTCGGGCACTAAATATATCGAACAACACGCCAGACATTTCTAGTCCAAAAGAACCGGTGCTTCCTATTTTGGTATTTACAAATGTCGATATGTGCGCAATATTTACGTGGGACGAAAATGCTATCGCAGTAAGTGTTCCGCCATTAATATTCTTTATTCGTCTAGTTTCTTTTATTGTTCCGGTCGCGATTGAAAAAATTACACGTATCTGAATGAAATTTAAATGAATAAAGATGAAACTTAATAATATAAACTATAACATAAACTATAATATAAACTATAATTTGAATACCTTTTAACATTCATTTTAAAACGTTCTTTTTAAACCCTTCATTTTAAAACGTTCTTTTTAAACCTTCTTTTAATGAGATCTTCTTGGTACAGTATTCCTATAGTTAAACTTATAGTTTATAGTTAACCCTGTGGCAGATCTTTATATCATAAATCTAAACGAAGGAAAACATTCTATTCTCAAAATCGTTATTGAAAATACTGATTTTGGTTCTAATGATGTCAATTATAAACATCATGTGATGTAAATTGTTTATATTTAATATTTATATGTATTATGTATGCTTTATTTAAATAATAATAATATTACCCCTTGTATAATCCTTGAATAATCCTTGAATAATCCTTGAATAATCCTTGAGTAATTCTTGAATAATATGTAATTAATATGTAATTAATATGTAGTTAATATGTGTTAATATGTGAATACTATGAATAATACTTTCCGGATAATATTCTCTCAATAATAATATTCTCTCCATAATAATATTCTTTGAGGATAATACGTTTAGATATCAGATATTATTCTCTTTGGATAACACTTTCCGGAAGCAGTGGCGAGTATGATAAAAAAAGTATGAATGGATTTACATGCACGTGAATTACACACTGTAAACACATATCGATATTTCTTTTTTGTTTTTTTTCATTCAGCCCTAACGTACCAACCACAAATTATTGACGGAATTCTTATTGGTCTTGCCGAAAAAATCGTCATCTTTTTTTTTTTAAGTTCATTTAATATTTTAATCTTAGGTAAATTTCAAAACAAATTCCCTAAAAAAAAAAGTTCCACAAAAAAAAAAAGTTCCACACGGCATTCAAACGGATTCTCCGTGAAAATAGCAATCTCTGACAATTTTATCATCATTTAATGTTTACAAGAATCTTTCTATTGTTAAAAACACTCCGTATATTACCTAAAGTCTTTAAGGAGCACATCTCTGTTTAATCTGTTTAAAATATGTGTAATACGTACGTACATCCTGATACGTAAATACGCAAATATGTACGTACGTTAAGCTATCTATGAATAGCATAGAAATAAAAGTTTGGCGTTTAATATACGCACTTAATTACTAAAATTATTATAATCCATCTCTATGAATATAATATTGACCTACTTAAAAAAAACAGAGTAAATATGTGGTCAAAAAAAAACAGTGATGTGTATGGTGTACAAATAACTTTATCTCCTTATTGATACGTGCTCATGATTTCCTATGCATGCATCTCTTTGTCTGCAGCTTTGATCATCTCTGAGAACTTTCTTGAAAAATCTCGAATTTAAAATATCTCGAATTTTGTAATTAGTACATACGAACGTACTAATATCGTTAGTTAATGAATTTATCGTTTTTCATAAAGTCTATTTATTATTAAATTTAATAAATTTGTTAATTTATTCAATTATTCATAATATCAAATAATTTTTTTACGTACGTATCGGTATCATATCTTAACGAGCCATATTTAGAAAATGACTTTTACAAATTTCTGTAAAAAAAAAAGGGTGAAAAACATCCTTCATGCATAGAATTTAAAATTAAAGATACAAAATAACTCATTTAAAACCTTTCGTCACGTTACAGTGTATGACAAAAACTTTATCAATTAACGTTAATTTTTGAATGTCCTTTATAAATGTTGATATACTGTATATTCGATTCTTATTTTATGTTGTATGTATATTTAATGTTAGAATAAAAAAAAAAGAAACACATAAAAGAAAGAACCATATCCGTAATATAAATAAACATAAATACAAAGGTACTCTAATCTGACCATTATCACGTGACCTGTTTCAAAAGCCAATTTTAAAACGCCATTGAAACTCAAAGATTATTAAAGAAACTAGTGTTCTATTTAAAAATGGTCTTATTAATTTTTATGATTTTTATGTTAACAAATTATAGTAATTAAAGAAAATGTAATTACGATGTAACGCGTTATTTAATTAAATAAAACTAATAATATTTTTTATTGAATTAAATCAATTAACATATCATAGTCTACTATTTTTGTATAACTATAATACTGTAAATAGCAATTAAATAATTTTGTTTCTTTTATTCTTTTTTTTTACTACGTATTTACCAAAATTTGTATATATATTAATTTAAATTTATAATCTTATTTTGTTTTTATCCAAATAAAAAAAATATAATACAATTAAACCCTTATATAGTTACAAATTTAATATAATTATTTTTTATAAATTTATTACCCTTTTTTACTACATTATGTAATTACAAAACCTAGCCCAAAAGTATAAAAAAGATTTAACAAATTTGGTATAATAATGCTTAGACCAAAAGTAAAAGCATAATTTGTATAAAACAAGTTATTTTGTATATTAAAATTAGCAAAACCAATGAACTTGTAATAATTTTAGCATAATAAATTATTATTATAATTGATTAATTTTTATAAATCATTCTATAAAATTACAAAAAATATTATTATTTTTTTACAAATCAAATTTTATATAAAATTACTAAATATAAAATTTGTTATTAAATAACAGATTATTTATTAAATAATTAAAATGTTAATATAATATAAATTTAGTAATTTTACGTGAAAGGTCAAGATTATGACAGTCAGACCCAATGTACAGGGCAGACTTTGGTATCTTGCACAGCAGTTAGAGCCAAGCATACGGTGATCGATCCTGTAGAAGACAATCTCAGAAGATCATTCTTAACCTCTTTAAGCCTCTATGATCTTCATACATGTTTCAACAAATTTCTTCTTTATTACAACTTACCACTTCTTCCTCATGATCAAACGATTCAATCTCTTATACAACATATTAACAAATATAACTATAATAACACTGTCTCTAGTATTACTTTTTCTGTTAGCAATACTTATGATGAAACTCATATATATCTTCCAAATGATTCTCTCTTACCTAATCATACTGTTATCCATTCTTATCTTCTTCCCATCTTTTACAAACTTCCTCTTAGATCAAATTCCTTTAATCCTACTTCCATCTTACCTGATTTATCTTTAAACAGCTATATTACACCACAAGTAGCTATATCTATACAAACTTTACATGACCTTCACTCAAATATTTGTATACATAATATTAGAGGTTATAATACAGTAACTAAAAGGAAAGCTTAACAAAATTATTGTCTTCACAATAATATCCATATCTCTTGTATTACTAAAACCAAAATTGCTAACAGTACTAATCTTCAATTTTATAATAACAACTTATTCATCTACTTCTGGGCCAATTCAGAAAGTTCAGCAAAAGATGCTACTATTATGATCCAAAAACACTTACAAGCACATATATACAACTGTCAAACATATCCTGGTAGAGCAATTGTTCTAGATCTATTCTTCAAAAGTGAAATCAAACTTCGAATTATAGCTGTTTACCTTTCTTCTACTGATATACAAAAATGCAACAATACACAAAATACTGTTATCACATGGATCCAACAAGCTCTTCAACACAATCTTCATCCAATAATATTTGAAGACTTTAACACATATGATAACATCTGTAGCTCTTTATCCAAGTTCAAACTTATTAACTATCTACTTTACTCCAACATGTTTGACCTTGATGCACATGTTGATAACAAGCACTTTACATGGTCAAACAATATTAGCCACAGCCGTATCAATTATATCTGGACTGATTTATTCAATATCCAATTCTTTCTTTCATATAAACTCGATAATAGCAATACCTCAACATTTAGTGACCATTCTATTCTTATATCTACCTGGACTTTTATTAATATATATAGCAAACCTTCATGTTATCATACTGGCATTAGCCACAGAATGTTCAATTACAAAGCTATGTTAATTGACAAATGGACAGAATTTGCTGATCTTCTTTCTCACAATCTTAGCCTTCACAATACACCACTCAATAGTAACACTAATAAAAGCATTGAAACTACCTGGCACAAGATTGAACATTCAATAATTAACACTGCAATACATTCTATTCCTAACAAAAAA